CGTACTTGTTCTGAGTATAGAACTAGAGGTCGGTGACCTAACTTACGCTTCCTCAAAGGGTAAGCTACGGCAGCTCCGCTGCACTTTTTTTTCAAAGCGTTAAGCATAGGTGTGTCTGGTGCGTGCATTATTAGCTCCAACTTATCCAGTGACGATGTCACCATTATGCCACACATGCTATATTTAGAGTCGGGGTGGCGCGATAGCGCATCCAGCACCGTATCAAGTCGGCCCGGCATATACTTTATACTCAGCAGAGACGGTTACCCATTTTTTCATTATTTGTGAAAATGTGGTGACGCCGTCGCTGTGCGCAACGTAAATGATGTGCATAGATTACAATTGGCTTGGAACCAACGCAGATGCACTTTAAATTTGTCAAATTAACTCCATTGCCTTGTTCATGTATACAGTCGTCTATCTCACCAGCTTTGAGCTAGCGAAGCTCAAATTCGCTCACAGGTTCTTGCCCATTGGTAGCTACTCTCTGTCAAGCGTAACCTATGGCAAGGATGTAAGGATTGTAGATAAAATAGGAAATTCGTTCAGGATTCAGAGGAGCTAAATTCTGAGCATGTATAATAATTTTCATAGATGGAAAAGCTGTATCATTTGAGGCACCTCAACATTGTTCAACATCCTGTCAGAAGAGATCCAGAGACTGTGCCATGTCGGCATGGTTTGCCAGCAATAAATTGACTGAAACAAGTCACAAGCTCTAGACCTTTTGAAACGAAGGCGCTTGCCGATCTACATTGCCTATTTTGCTGCAGGAGGTTTTCGCAGGCCATATTTTTCATCGAAGCAATACAGAGCTGATAAGAAGCATAACATTAGTCAAGGGCACCCAAAATTGTGCAGCCTACAGCAAATATTTGTAGTTTTCCTGTTAAAATCGGCGGCTGCGCCAGTGTTTTGGCTACATCACCTTTTTTAATAGTTGCACTTTGACATTTGGTGTTAGCTTTTCTGACACAGTAGTCAGTTTTGAAGGTGGAATTTTCTTCTTTACACAAAAAACACCCATCTTGGTATGGAAGAAAGCGTCAACGACGTCGCACAGAATAGCATTTAGTCTCGTAGCCGTGTGACGCAATATTTATCTTTATAACTTACTAAATTCTATGACGCTTTCCTTTTGTTAGTGTAGCACAATATGGATCTCATGTCACTACGTCGTGATGTTTCCGCTATATAGATTTGAATGGATAATTTCACTGTTTAAAAGAATCGAATTTCCTTGATAATAGCTGTCTTTGAATATACATGTAAGTTAGCTTTTATATACAGATTGCCCTGACCGGGTGACGAACTCAGCTCCATTTCCAAATCTGTTCCTGCCATTTTGGCGACCTTATTGTTCTGCAATTTATTCCACTAACTTTGAATGGTATTTCTTTCAGATCTACAAGAGCTTCTGGTAGAGCTTTGAAGGAATATTTGCAATCACAGAGACTGCATCAATCATTGCATAAAGAAATGAATAGTTTTCTGGCACTCATTCGCGGACTTTTCAACTCCACACTGTAGGCCTGTCACTAAGTATCAAGATTGCTCGTCTGTACAAACACATCGCATCATTAAAGAGTTATCCTATTTTATTTTAAGTCATAAATGTCCCGCCGATTACTTTTGGTCACCCTTCGACTTTGCAGACTCTAACACCGAAAATCGCGACACCCACTTGATTTTACTGTCCACCAGCTTTCTCACAGAGACACTCACAGCTCTTCTTTGCCGCCCCCACTCGAGATACACTCTGGAGGTCAAAGAATAAAGTCGGCTTTCCCTTCCCAACAAAGATATACGATGGAAAACGCGATTATAATCGTTTTATCTCATCATGCGACCGCGGCTCAGGACGGCTACTGTCTTCCGAGATCTACTTAAAGCGCTTAACAATACCGTTGCTCTCCATTTTGCATTATTTTATGACCTGCTTGCATAATAGCTTCATGCTCGAGTCAAAAGTGCTTCTGTTTCGCTACAAAGGTATATTCAAAAATCGGCAATTTTTATACCAGATTTGAAAGGCCTGTGAACAAATTGCTTGAATTTAGCCTAAGAATAAACAGCAACTCCATACCTAGAGTTGTATCATTTTTAATTAGGGTCTGAAACGAGACAATGCTCACGCTATCAAAGTCCAAACATTATTTTAAGGTTTAAGAATAAATATACCTTTTTCACCAGTCTTGTCGCAAGACCTGCTGATATCAAATCCGTTTTTGACACTTAAATGCCTACTACTCTTGTTCGTCGAATGTTTTATGTAAATACTCGACGTTTGTAAAAATATCATATTTCTCCACGAATTATTTGAGCCCGGGACAGACAATCAACATTTAACAACCATGAACTGAGACATCAAAAAGCGCTTCTTCTTAGAGATCTGTTACATTGATCACAAACTCAACGAGGTCCAAAGAATTTCATTTCTTCCCATACGGCACGGAGTGGTCTACTTGACAACGGCGTTTGTATTTCGCTCTAACATAAGAGACCATCCCTTTGCACCTCTTATCAGAGAGCGAATAGGGTACGCTGAATGTAGATTCTCCATGCTACTGCAGATGCCACTTTAGCGAGGACTGCGACCCTGCTCAGTAGATAAGAAAAAACTATCGCTTTCATACATAGCTGTGATCCATCGCCACAAAAATCACTATCATTGCTTCCATTCCCAGAACCCAACCCAGTCTTTCTACGTTAAATATTTACATCTCATTGAATTTGACGCCTATCGCTTCTTTAAAAGAGGGAAGTGGCTACGTAATGTCTCAGTGCAAGCCACACCACCCTTTCGGAAGCCCCCTCCATGCTTATGGGAGGGGGTAGAACATAATTTTTTGGTCAATGAGAATTCCATAACTCTGGACTTAGATTTCCAAATCCTGCCTTCTTGACAGTTGGACAAATTCTTCAAACACACCCGATATGTCTGGCTAAGCAGTACAGACAAGCGGGTCATATGTCGTTTCAAATCATTCCATGATAGAGCGCCTCTCAGATACTGAAAGTCGGAGTCCAATCTCGTGCATCTTGAAACCTCAAGCGTAAATCGCTGTCAATCTGTGTAGAGCATAGCTTAACCAATAGCCATCTTAGCTTCCGTCATCCCGAGGGAGCGATTTCCTGTAAACTGCTCTATAAGAATGAATTTTCTGGCTATCATCAGCGGTCATTTGGTGTTTTTCAACTGGAATCCGGGCGGGGCGATCTTGGTCGTGCTTTGCCCGAGAGCTGTCAGAGCTACTTCGCACTTTTACGCGAACGATTTTGATAAGTTGAAGTGAGCACTATTTGGCAAAATGAAAGGTAGATCTATTTAAAAGGTCCCTAGTTCACAACTAAATGCTAACTCTAAGCCTATGCTTTATCTTTACCAGTCACAAACTGACAGCATCCTAAGGTTGATGATGATGTAACGAATATCCATCCTGATACCAATCATGTGCCTCGCTCCTCAAGCATCGAATATATGCATGTACCGGTACTTACCGATATGTGGTTGCTGTACGAGGCGTTTCTTCAACAGCATTCTCGACAACACTCCTACTCGACTCGGTAGCCTTCGACTGTTGTATACCCAGCTTTCTTTGAAGTATACATAAATGCGTTGCAGGAATCGGCTTGGTCATTATACCGACCAGCATGTCGAGCGTTTCACCTGTTCATCTTCTACCTTTTCACGAACTGGGTGGTTTCGAATATCGATGTGTTTGATTTGCTTGTGAGACTCCGGGTTCTTCGCTTGTGCAATCGAGCCTGGTTTATCCTCAAAAATCTTGACCGCTGTATCCAAAAGAAAACATCTCGCTCAATTTACAGAAAACATCTTAAGCCAAATTGCTTCTTGCGTAGCCTCTGCCAATGCCAAGTACTCAGCCCCTTAGACGATAGTGCCACAGTACGCTGTTTCTTGCTGTTCCAGCTGACACATCCACTGCTCATCATGAAACCATAACCACCTGTACTTCATCGCGACACTTTGTCCCCGGCCTAATCCGCATCCAAAAAACCTAGCAATCCATCATGATATCTGTTTGAAACGTAATGCCGTGTTTTCTTGTGCTTGGATATATCTGAAGACTCTATTTAACGCTTGTCAGTGTGTTGGGCACGAATGGGCTGAGTGCCCCATCTGCCGCAGCAAGCGTGTCGACCATGAGATACATCAGGCAGCCAACAGTATTCTGCTACGGCACATTAATCAAAATCTCGCTGTGCTTGCATCGTCTTTCGCACATCAACTTGGTAAGCTTAAGTCCTGAATGTTGAGGCGCATTGACTGGCTTGCAATTTTCCATATTAAACTTGGTCAAAATCTCTCACGCAAATTTGGTTTGACGCATCGTCGGGGTCCCGATCGTGAGGTTTTGCTCAGTTTCAAATTCAAAGAAGACTTTTAGCTTACCCAATTCCGTCATTTCAGATCGTTTGCTGAGTGCTTGATTGGTTTCTCGAAGCATTTTGCTGTACTTCTCGCCAAAATTAAATCATCGACGTAAAGCGCGTCGAATGACATGTCGTGTTTATCTCACTTCATGTACACTCAGTGATCAAACTCACACTTCTTTAACTCCAATCCCACTTTGAAGTCATCAACGGTCTAGTTCCACATACGAGGTGATTGTTTTAGCCCGTGCAGTGATAGCTGTAACTTGTATACATAGTTGGGATCAACCATATTCATAAGCCGTAAAGCTGTGCCATATAGATATCCTCATCAAGTTGGAAATTTAGAAATGCTGCTTTCACATCCATCTGATGGACCATTAAACCATACTTGGCAGCTGGACTTAGCAAAATCCGGATAGACGTTAACTCGGCCACAGGTGCAAACGTTTCTTCATAATCGATGACAAACTTCTGTGCAAACCGTTTGACCACTAGACGCGCCTTGTGTTGCTCGACTTCACCAGCTTGATTCTCCTTAGAGCGAAACACTCATCAATTGCCGATTGCCTTGCGACCTTTCGGAAAAGGTACGAATGTCCAGGTCTTGTTCTTTAAAATGACTCTATTTCCGAATCGCATGTTTTCTACCATTTAGCTGCGTCGTTGGATTATATCGTCTACTTTAAAAAGTAGTAGGCATTCTTCCAACTGAATACACGACGTACGCAGCTTCAAAGTCTGTAGCTATGGCTGACATTTTTTCAAGTGATCCATATCGACTCTGTCGTTTACATCTTGGTGCTTTACTCGCTTTTTTAAGCGATCGGGTTCGTTTGTGTCGCTTGCTGCCAGGCTCAAATTCTTCTTTGTGCATAAATTATTCAGATTTATGGTCTGTCTGGTCATACTGTAGGGTTTTTTTTATCAGTCTCTTTAAATCATCTTGAACAATGACTTCATTGTAGCAACAGTCGTGCCTCTCATTGTCGAAAATATTGCGTCTCGGCAATAAGCACACGATTACTCTCGGTTTCTTCAAATCGATACGCTTTCTCATGCTCCGAGTAGCCGAGAAATTGACAGCGTACCGACCAAGCATCAAGCTTGCTGCGCTTCTCCTTTGGCACCATAACAAATGCATGGTATCCAAAAACCTTCAAAATTCGACAGCACAGGTTTCGTTCAGTCCAAACTTGAAGTAGTGATTTAATCATAGCAATGCCTTGCGGTGGACAACGGTTGCAAACAAAAAAACTGCTTCACCCCAATACATCTTTGCCAGTCCAGCGTGCTCAATCGTACATCTTGCACGTTCAATCAGAGTTCGGTTCATGCTTCAGCCACTCAGTTAAGTTGCGAAGTATAAGGTGGCGTGAACTTTTGCTCGATACCAAGCCACTTGCAGAACTTGGTCATGTCACCTAACGTGTACACGCCACCATTGTCGCGAAGAAGTGCTCCGACAACTTTGCTAGTCTGAGTTTCTGCAAAAGCAACGAACTTGGCAAATTTGTTGGCGTTTCAGCGAGAATACCGAGTTTAAGTGCGAGTACGCATCCGTGAAAGTGACAAAGTATCGCTAGCCGCTAAAAGTCGTTACGCGATAGCTTTGGAATATCCCATATTCCGCGAAGCATACCCCCCCTTAATTCCATGGGCCATCTTCATCGACATTACAATGCCTCCAGTTCCGATTGCTTGAATGACCGTTGTCTGCAAGATGAACGTCCATCGGAGAAATTTCATCTTCATAACCCCAGTGAAAAATGTCAAATGCTGCGTCGCACCCTAGTCGACCAGCCATACGCGACACGACTTGATGTCGCTTGACTTTTCACCAACCAAGAAGAGAAAATCACCAGAGTTGTCTTTGCTCTGCGCGAAGTTTCCGCGCTGTGCCGGCTGTCGCCGATCTACGTTCTCACGAATTCTCACGGATCCGATGCCCGAGCTCCTCAGAATAATGATCCATATTGCTAGCCTTAGCGATCGCTTGTAGTTCCCTACGTCGTCCATTGTCCGTTGTCATAAACACGTACCCATGTACGTGCACGGCTCCATCGACGCCACCACCTTGCTCCTTGCGATTCATGTCTTCATGTATTAGCCGAGACGTCATGAGCTCCCACGTCAACAAGTCAATCTTGACTCCACGCCGTAATCAGGATCGCATATGCTCGCTTAAGCTTGCGAGTAGCGTGATGACCAAATCGTCTTCGCAAATTAGAGTGCCCACAGCGTAAGTTGCTCTGCCAACGTCTTGACCTTGTTGATGTGCTGAAGCACGACATCACCCTCGTCCATCATTGTCGTGAAGAAAGTCGACGTAAGAAAAGCCAAGTTGCCAAACTCTTCTTTTTTGAAATGCCCTTTAGGAAGCGACCGTGAATCATACGCGTCTTTTGCCGACTAAAGTAGAGGCAGTTGCGAATCCTCCATCGCGAGACAGATAATCGTCATGGCCTTGCGTGACTTTCGTTAGTAGCTCGATTTGTCCAGCGAGTTCGTTAAGTGCTCAAACTCTACATTCCCGCTCACCACATCCAAAACTCCCGTTCTTTCAGACCTAAGTTTCCATAGGTGAAGGTTCGCACCGACAAACTCGTTGATGCGGGCGTTCGTAGTGTCCATGGCAAGAACGTAGTCAGTAGCGGGGGCAGCAGAGTCAGTTGATCTTGGGCTCGTTACCTGATCGAAAGATCAATTGAGCACTGGCTGGCAAAATGCAAAGTAAATATATTCAAACGGTTCTTGGTTTACAACTCCATGCTACCTCCAAGCCTATGATTTATCTTTACCAATAACAAACTGACATCATCCCCAGGTTGATAGTAACGTAATGATTCCCATCCTGATACCGATCACGTGTAACGAGGTTACATGAACCCTAATAACAGGAGTGTGTGTCACACCAGATGTGCATAATGTAACCACACACCCAAACAAGAATACGGTACGGGGCTAGGTAGCCAGTAGCTATGCATATTTAATATATATTTAGAAAAATATAACTTATAGAATTAGGATAAAAAGATTAATAAAAAATCAGTTTTGATTTTGAATTGAAGTGTTCGTTTGTCTTGGTTAAGGCTTTTAAGTACTTTTAGAGACAGCGAATTGCGGTCCGCTGCACTAGTACTTGGGTTATGTAAAGAACGAAAGGTCGGTGACCTAAAGATGCTTTCTCAAGCGCAAAGCTACGGCAGCCCCGCTGCAACATATGTCCATCTTGGACTCGCTCCTTCAAGCAGTCATCAATTACTGGTACTTACCGATATCGGGTCGCTGTTCGACGCATTTCTTTAACAGCATCTTCGTGAAAAGTTTTCATCTCCATGGTCCTTTTGCTTGTCAATATATTGATACCATCGAAACCAACAATATTCATATTCTTGATAAGCTAGTCTGTTTATTCTAGGGACATGTACGAGAACAATTTCTGTTTCATCATCGCAAAAGATGCAGTCTATTCTCGCCTTGGACTACAAGTACAACCAAGCACAACGGATTTGCTATTTACGTTGCACAAGTCGAGGCTCGACTTTCAGAAATTGCGCTGATAAACAAACAGGGCTGGATTCGTGCGCTAAGCCCTAAGCACAACCGAGAGCCTCAACTGTAACGATGCGTCTGATTAGCCATGCCATCTCGAAAGTGCATATATTTGGATATAACGCTACCTGAAGTGCTACTAAAATTTCTTCGTATTTTTTACTAAATCGTGATTTAAGAATCTCTTTCTTCTCTGACGTGCAGTTTATAGCCCGTGGTACACGCGGGCTCCTTTTTTTTAGGCTTGATCATTTGCACATGTACCAAATATATTCGCCGCACACAGTATGCTTTTTTGGTAGTGTGGAAACCCCTAATCATATGTCGCTCATGTCGAAGTTGCCTCATCCAAATGATCGACTTTACGCTTGTGACTGGTCCTACGCGCGGTCTCGTATCTTAGAAAATGCTAGTATGCTGCGCTGATGCCCCGTCTGGTTTATGTCTGAGTTCATGGCTACATCAAGCTCTCTAACAAATAAAATATACATCTCCTGCTCTAGAAGTTGAAATCTTGGACGCGTTACATAAATGGCATCATGGTAGAAGTCGGTAGTGCTATCGTTGACGACTAATTGGGCGCCTTCTCGGTAGTGCGTCATCAATGCAGCAGTTTCTGATGATTGCCTCATTATTTTAAAAGCATCGGCTTACGAATTGTGTTACGTCGCACTTAAGACAAATTGTCAAATAAATGCGCTTCAATTTTTTCAAGAAAAAAACTTGGTCATTGGATTGAAGACAAATACTATCAAGTGTAAAGAGGCTGTCGTGTACTTTGTCAGAAAGAGCTTTGACCCAGCATCTCCGCGTCATCAACACTAAGGGATGGGTTCATACGCATTACCCAGAAACAGAGCCTGGATTCATAAAAAGTTATTTTGTTCGGCATACGGAACCCGGTCCCAAAATGTATCGGATAGCTACCAGTATCCCGTGCCATAGAAAGCTTAATCCAAAACTTGTGGCTTTAATCTCTCATATAAATTGTATACATTTATTAGTTGTAAATAAACTGAAAATTTACGTTTCACTCTATATAAAATTACAAGACTCTATATTGAGCGACGTGATGCCCAACCCAACCAGTCTTCTGCCAAAGTAACATTATCATCTTCAATACCAACTCCAAATATTATACCTCATTATGTTACTTAGGTGATTCTGAGCCTTGCTGAATAGTATAATGCGTAAGTACAGTGTAATGGAATATTTTATCCGTTACATCCCCACCAGAAAGGGAACCAGTCATTTTGTCTAATTAACAGCCATCCTGCACTTGGCAAAAGCTCACAAGCACCCACTGCACCAGAAGTTGTTCATCTCACTGCAATGGAAGTGTTAGCTATTATGAGCATTTTCAATGCGAAGAGATTGGATTTTATATCAAGTAAAAGCATTTTACTACATTGAATGATAAATTATCTGCTATGTATAAATACCTATATTTTGATAATTATGAATTTCCACAGTTACATAAAGTTGCAACAAGGCTTGCGCAAATTTGAATTCTGCAGATTATTTGAATTACTTATGCAAATTAGACAATTTACATTAATTCTAAATGTGTCAATCTTGAACTAACATCAATCCAAATCGGCTTCACATTTCGCCAATTAAACTACAATCGACATTGTACAGAGCAATCTTTGCCTGAGAGATGCCGCGTATACGATCTCCGGAGATTGGGTTCTATGGGTGATGAGTAGCTTTGACGAATATTGACAAAGTTTATTCAGTAAATTTGACTATAATTTGTCTAGAGATAGAGCATCGAAAATGCTAAAGATTATTATCTCAGCTAAAACTATTTATTTATGCCGGCTCGCACTGCACAATTAAGTTCGTTCGATGTGCAGACCTGACAAATTTGTGAGCTGTACAACCGCCTGCACCCAAATTCAGCGTGAGCGCAAACTTTACTATTTTC